CGGCCGCCAAAAAAAAAGAGGCAGACGACAAATGAAATTCGATAGGGCACCAACTGCCGGTGCGAATTTTTTTATAGAGTTTTCCCGCAAGTTTTTGTCGCTAATGGCACTGTTTTTTCTAACAGATGCTTCTAGCTGAAAGAATTGAGACTGGCCACTACAAATGTCAGAATTTATTGCAATGTTTCCCAATAAACACAGCCGTGGCCATGCTCAAAAAAATTCAGCTCTGTAAATGTCTTGGTTGCGGAGGTAAATCAAATTCCACCATTCGTGCACAAAAAAACGTGAATGTTATTTTCATGTGCGCTTGTCCAAACGTGGTTGTGGGTGATACTAAGAAGACTTCAGCGCTCCAGCTGCTTTGGTTTGCAGACTTACATCAAATTCCATATGTTCGTACGTGAAGGGAACGAGGAATTTTTTATGCGCACCTTCCCAAAGACGTCCGATCAGAAAATTTCAGCACTCTAGCTGCGATAATTGTGAGGTCACGTTAAACTTCACGTACTCGTACGTGAGGGAAGAAGTGGAGGTCTTTTTTAAGCGCATCTGCTCAAACATGATTGTGAATGCTCAGAAAATTTGAGCGCTTTACCTAATTCGGTCGCAAAGTTACGTCATATTCCACGTGCTTGCATGTGAGATGCAGAAGGGTAGGAAGGCTCAATTTATTTTTACGAACACATTAATGGGCGGCAAACAAATTACGTAAAAGCCACGCAGAAATGTGTGTTCATTTTGCGTACAGAGAACCATGCATAGGGTGTAGACCAAGTTGTCAAAGTTTCAGCCTTGTATTTCCTGTAGGTCTGGAGATGAAAAATCAGTCCAGACGCTCACAGGCACACAAACACACGCGCACATGCACAAACAACTTTAACAGTATGCGTTTTAGCATTGCGCAGATGCAAAAAATGCATAAAAACAGCAATTGGAGAACTATAAGACATGACTAAGATTTGACAAAACTTCGTGTATAAAAATAAATTTCAGGAAAAGATGGTAAGGCGGGGCCACCAGGCCCTAGCGGTCCCGATGTGCAGCATATGGTTGGTCAGCCAGGACCTAAAGGATTACGAGGTGCGCCTGGCCCAGCAGGACAGCCTGGAAACAAAGGTTCAGAGGGGCAAACTGGCAAGGCTGGCTCACAGGGCTTACCTGGAAATCCCGGAACTCCTGGTGTTGCTGGTGCTCAGGGAGGAATTGGTCCAGAAGGAGAAGAAGGGCTGCCAGGGAAAGACGCAGAGGTATTATTTACTGTCTTTTACACTTGATGTGCACAAATGCTGCGATAAGGATGTTTTTAGTGAAGTCAGTTTTAAGCAAAGAAGGGAAACTCGCTTTCAATCTCGCCTTCTCAAAATGGGTTTGTAGCTAAACGGCTTCCTGCATGATATTTTTTAGCGTTTCCTCATTTGTTCTTCATCGTAAATTAGCGTTTCTTGTAAGATTTTAATTTGAAGGCTATCTTGACTAAGTTTTGTCCTCATTAGAAACATTACGCCCATTCGGCAAAATTTAATATTAATCTGGATGTTTCGGCTAAATTTTGAACCTTCCTTACATCCTAACGTATTAAACTTTCGCCCTCAATTTATTTTTTCACACATGCGCTTTTACACAAATCATATACATGACAGCAAGCACCGAGAGCTGGTGCGGTTATTCATTTCTACAGTAAGTTGCAATGGGCTGACAGTCGGCAAACGCGACAAAACATATCACGACTATTTTCCCATTTATTCGTCCGAAGAAATATGCAGGCCTAAGGGCAGGTGGGAATTGGAGTCCTGTGCTTCACACTGAGACTGTCTTAGCACTGTGTCATGTCATAAAGCCAAATCCTTTACGCTTCAAAAATCGGGACGCAAGTTTCCATTTTTGAGTCATTTGGCTAAAGACGATATCACCAAATTTAATTTTCGTAGCTTCTGTGGCAAGTTTAATTTCCAACACGCTTCACCTGACGTGCCAGAGTGTATTGAGACTTAAAAGCGAAAGGGAAGCTATCTGTTCTCACTGAGTATGGTTACTCTAGCATATCCACGTATCCTTTAGAAATGAGTCAAGTGGACTTCGTTTCAGTACTGTCCCTGTCCAGCAAGGCGTGCAGTTATCCGAACTCGTGGGAGAAAGGAAGATTCGGTAACGACCAAACCTGATCGATACGACCAGATTGCAGGCAACGAGGAAAGTACTTACAAACGCAAACGTTCCAGCAATTGAATTTTAAGAAAGTAATCTTCAAGTGCTAAGTGCCATTATACATTCAGGTGCTAGATGCCATTGAACTGTCACTTATAATTAGTCTGAATAAAATGTTATTACACTTTCAAAGTCAATTCGTTTAATTTTTATGCGTTTTTTGGAGCTATGCAATGCAAAATGCATGTTGACGAGGGGTTGTCTGTGTGTCCGTGTGACTGTGTGTGCGTCTGAAGACTTATTAAAGCTGCAGGGCTAAAATTTTGGGAACTTAACCTGCATGCACGTACGGGCTCCAATCCCCAAAATGGGCGCCATTACGCGCGTGGCACCCGCGTACAGGCCCGCCAAAATTTTTTCGGGTAAGTTCATAATTCGGGGATCTGCGAAGGTAGAAAGCTGAAATCTTAAGGGAATGTTCCCCGTTCAAGTGGGTATTAATGTGCTTAAACCCAGCCCTCGGGTGTGCGTGATACCCAATGCACGGACCCGCCAAAGTTTTTTTCGGCTGTTGATAACTCGGGAATTTGAAAAGCTAAAGGACTGTAATTTTAGGAGGATATTCCCCGTTCACCTAAGTCTCACTGAACTCAAACTAGACTCCGGGTACGTGTGGTAACCACATACGGGCCCGCCAAAGTTTTTTCGGGTGAGTTGCCAACTCAGGAGCCAGGGAAGCTAGGAAGCTGAAATTTTATGGGGAAATTTCCCAACAGTTCTGGCGGCCAATCTTAATTTGTTTAGCTAAAAGCATTTGCCGAAAAAACCAGTGCCGGTAGCGACAAAAACTGCGGGGAACTATACAAAAAACGCATCTTCGCACGGACAGCCCGTGTGTTGGCCAGTCAATATTTCATTTCACAGCGTGCGAGAGAATATGATAAAAATTTCCAAAAGCCAGTGCAATAGAATTTTATTAGAAAACTTATCAGGTTCGCAGCTTCGAGCGTTCCTCTACACCTCATAACTCCATCTTCTTGGCTTTTTTGGTTTCAGAGTTGACAAGCAGCAGCCATGCACAGGTATAGACCAGACCCTTCTTAGTGATTTCCATCGCATTTTTAAATAAACCAAAAAGGAATTGGCAAGAGACCTCATGTTTAGGTACATATATAAGTATACGGTTGTTTTTCCCCACTGCAGTAACTAAAACCCAGAAAAAATTATGAAAGTAGGATTGAAATTTTGAATTTTTCAAAGGCGAATTAATCAAAGCAAAAAAGAAATTTTGAATTTTAAAAGGACGAAGCTATGGAGGTAAGATTAAAGTCTTTGGTGAGGGCAGGAAAGTAAAGTCACGTTTCATTTTCTCTCGTGTTCTGATGTACGAATATGAACGGTTTTGCCGCTCATTCGCTTCAGTACTTTACTACAGCGAACCTAACAGATTGAAATTTTCGGTCTTTTTCTGCAAGCACGTCATACGAGTTCAGGCTGAAATTTTGGAATCATAGTTTTTATCCTCGCAAGGGGCACAAACCACACGCTTTCACTTCTTTCTTTGTTCTGACTTGCAGTCTTGGGCCTAAATTTAGATCAACTTTATAAGCGAAAAACTCGAGAACAGAAAAAGATACACACTGAAAATTTTGAAAGATTAACTCAATTAGAGAATCTCATACCGTTTTTGAAGCATTTTCAAAGTCGTAAGAGTTAAAGCAGTGAAAGTGCACGAGGACTACCAACCCAGGCAGCTTCACGCGTGCCAGAAGACACTGTGTCGTATTTTCCCGGTTAAGTTTGGACGAAACTTCGCTTGGGACGACAACTGAAATAAAAGTCACGAAGCTACGCACTATACGTAAGAACGCGCTGCCCACAACAAAATGCGGCCTTGGGCAAGCATGAAATGCAAGAAATCACGGGCCCCAGCGCTTTGCACCCTTTTGGACCCGTTGGACCACAGTGGTAGACCGAGGACTCCGGAGCAGAGTGAAAGAGAAGGGACGGTTGCTCCCAGATAACAAAGTTAACCTCGTAACTTGCACCTACAGCCGCAGGTTTTTGTCGAGGGACAGATTTTATAAATACAAAGGAAATGATTACTTGGACTCTTATTAGAAACGCATTGCTTTTCGCAGTAAAATTTTAAGTATACTGCTGCTTCCTAATCAAGATCCAAAATTTAATATGTGCTCCCTGGAAAGAGAATGGTCATATTTCTCTGTTTGTTTTGATACCGATGGGCCAAATATTGCTTACGACATAACGCCACTGAATGAAAAGGCCACCGACTGGATTTACTGGCTTTTCTGGAAATGTGGATTTTCTGATTAAGCGTCCTGCGTGGTAATGCTAACAGTTATAGAAAAATAATTTAATAAAGCCACGGCAGCATGTGCCCTCAAGCATACAATACAAATAAATTTAAAACATTGGATATGGTTTTTCATCAACTGCATGCTGATCAACACCACCGCTGCTGTTCACAGTGCTTCCCAGAGTGTAACAGGACAGTCAAATCGATCGGCCAATTTACTGCTTTACAAATCAGTGAACTGTTCATTGACCCTTTACTGAACACTGCTCCTTGCTTTCTCAACCTTTACTCATTGCTAAGAGGTATTAGATTGGCTGTGCTTCTTCACACACCTTGTTCCATTGGTGGAATTTCATACAGCTGTGCTCATTGGAATATCTTCAAAAAAATACAAGCGATTTAAAGCTCTTTCAAAAAAGATCGCGTCGAATGTAAATAAGCAAAAACAAAATCAATGGTAATTAAAAGAACGCTTTCTACATGTGTAACGCTTTCCCATGGTTTCTAATGAAAACAAAACGGAAAAGCAAACCGAAACTCTCCAAGAAAATGCTTTTGGATAGCATGTCCTACCCAGTTTGCAGCAGATTATCAAATTAAGAAATTGTTTGGCACCATGTTCAAAATTTTATGCTGATTTTTCAATTTCGCTTAAGTGACCCGATAATATTCGCTTTCTTTGCATTCAGAAAAAGAAAATTCGCCTATAGGAGTTGATAAAAGTACTATGAACTGAACAGTGGGACACCGCTCTCAGAATTAAATTACCAAGGTAGTACACAATTTAACCATAAAATGTTAAACGTAAAATGATGACAGAAATAAACAAGCAGATACCATTTAGGCCAAGAGGTGTCAGATTTGCTGCTCATCTTCACAAACGTTACCCCACTGATGGGATTTTATACAAAATAAAAGCTTCAGATCAGCTGCGACACTCCGCGTAAAAAAAATTCAAAAACCAACGGATCAGTAGCACGGAAAAAGCAAAGATTCACTGTTTCAAACGAACAAATGCTGCCGCTTCTGTACTGCTAGCAAAATGTAACTGCGTGATGATCAGTCCTGCGCTCGAGAGTGCGAAGTACCTGCAAATAAAACGATGAAGAACGATAAACTAACTTCACAGTCCAAGCAACCACTAAATAACTGATCAAGAAAATGCAGGTAATAAGTAGTTCTTGCAGTTATCAAAAATTAATTTGCTGAGTGGATGTCCTACAGGAGCAAAAAAAACTGTTATCTTATTTTCAATGTTTTGAAACAAATGCAGCATAATTTTTTTTAGTGTTGACACATTCGGTATCCAAAAGCGAGGAGTGGCCCGTAAAGTGAGAGCTTAAACAAAATTTCTACTTCAGTAAAAAAGATGCCCGCTTGTGAAAGTAATTCAGACTTTAGTGAAGAAATTTATCAAAATCAGGTGACCAAATTCAAAACAGCTTCACTGTTTTTGAACGATTC